TGTTTTTAATATATTGTCTTTGTCTCATTCCCCCCTTTCCCTTGTCTTTTGTGAGCCGCCCGGAGTCCTTCGTGAGTGGGCGGCATACAAGACAAATAAATAATAATAATAATAAATTTGCCTTTTGATTTATTTTGCTATACCCTGGAGTTGCTTTTAATTATGGAACATTGCCTCTATCAATGAAATAATCTTTCAGAAGGTGAATTTTCTTCAGAGGGTTGTTACTTAGAGAAGAGTAGGTTGTGTTCCCCTGTCAAAATTGTTTTTGCCCCATTAATGGTCCTAAATGGAAACCTAACATTACATTCCTTCATCACTTTCAGTTTCAGCTAACTAATTTCTAAAATACAATTAATATGGACATTCAGATTAGATCTCTTGGATTTTGAAGCCCACTGTGTCCTGAGCTGATGATCAAGAGATTTGGGGGATTTCCCCAATAAATCTCCTACTTGATCCTAGTTGCAGGGGTGCATCTTTAGCTATTGTGATCTGTGTTCTCTTAGGAGCCAGGATCACACAGCATAAATAAAATAACAATTGTTGTAGTGTTTTTTGTCCTCCAAAATCAAAATTAAAAGCTGTATATCTTTTCCCTGGTTCTTCCATAATGTTGTGTGGGAACTTAAATGAAATTAAGCAGACTATTCTACTGCCATCTTTTTAAACATGTTAAACATTAAAAACTATCATACTTTTATCTATAAAATAACTGAGTATTTAGAATAGAATAGAATTGAATCGAATAGAATAGAATTCTTTATTGGCCAAGTGCAATTGGAAACACAAGGAATTTGTCTTCGGTGCATAAGCGCTCAGTGTACGTAAAAGATAAATCATGACCATAGTCATCATATATACAGTCATCATGAATCATAAGATACAACACTTAGTGATAGTCATAGGATATTAAATAAGCAGTCAAGTTAAATCATGCCAGGAACTAAACAATATAAATCATAAAGATACAAGTAACAAAGTTATAGTCATAAGTAGAAAAGGAAATAGGTAATAGGAAGGATGAGAAGAATAATAGTAATACAGCCTTAGAAAATAGTTTCACAGTGTTATGGGAATTAGTTGTTTAGCAGAGTGATGGCATTGGGGGGGGGGGAACTCCTTGTGTCTATTGTTCTATAGTGCACTATAGTGTCATTTTCAGAGTAGAAGTTGAAACAATTTATGTCTAGGATGTGACAGGTCTGTAGATAGTTTCACAGCCGTCTTTTTGACTTGTGCAGTATATAGGTCCTCAGTCGAAGACAGGTTGGTAGCAATTGTTTTTTCTGCAATTCTAATTATCTATTGAAATCTGTGTCTGTCTTGTTTGGTTGCAGAGCCAAACCAGACAGTTATAGAGGTGTCTATGAATGCTGAACTGAAGTCCACAAAGAGGACTTTGTGTTTGGAGATTCAAAATGTTGTACGATGCAGTGCAAACAGCAAGAAAAAAAAATATTGCCTCTGTATTTACTTTCTTTTGCCAGAATTATTCGCACTAAGGAGAAATTTTTTACAAGCTTATTCTGTAATAACCAGGAAGGTATAAAATAACTTAGACTTGTAAAGTTAGTTTTAATTAGAGGAAACGGGAGCACTATACCACTGGAAAATGCAGTGGCAATATTGCAGCAAATAATTGGTTTTTTAATCACTTCCATCAGGATGAAATAAAATGAGCCATATTTGAAAGGAATAATTCTGATTAAAATTGTTTAGATTCTTTGCTGAGCAACAACTACCTGTGATGTAATAACTTTATTAAATGCTGTTGCCCAGAAGAAAGCACTTCTGAATAATCTTTTTTAAAAAAAAAATCATCTTGCATTTCATTGTATCTAATACTTTATTTAGCAGGAAAGAAACTGACTTTCTTTGTAATGCTTTTTGGTCTACTTGCTGACTGCTATCCTGGGAATAGGAATATACCAGTGGTGGGATTCAAATAATTTAACAACTGGTTCTCTGCCCTAATGACCAGCTGGGTAGGCATGGCTCAGTGGTTATGTGACCATTTGGGCATGGCTAACTCAACGTGACTCAGGTTAACAGCTTAGCTGTTACCATGTAATTAGGGTTAACCAGAGAGGCAGTTTCTGTAAACAGGGAAATTGAGATTAGGC